AGCGCTGTGGGTCCTTTCGAACCCAGCGCGTCTTTCTGAAGAAGGCAATAGAGGCTCCAATTGCCGAAGCCCCGGAGCCTAGCAAACTCCGGGGCACCACTTACCGACGGCCTCTAGCCTCTCCCCATCACCGATCGCAGCCCAGATGAATCCCTACCCTAGAACCCAATTGTCGAACCCACGGAGTCTTAACAACTCCGGGGGACCTGGGAACCGAGTAACACTCACGGAGATACAGCTGCTCCGTGGGAACGAATTCTTGAACCCCGCGGAGCCTGAATAACTCCGGGGTCAAGAAACCGAGTGTATTAGAGTCCTCCACCGAGAACTCAAGCAGAGCTGAGCCTGGAAAGCTGTCCAGCCTACACCGCGACCATCTCCGGTGTAAGTAAATAATCTTTTCAATCAACCATTACGCCTCCGTGATTGATTCTAGCTCGAGCGTACTACTCCACCCCGCGACTTTTCTCTGGCCCCGCGTGCCCAGGCTGCCGGCCAGCACACTTAAAAGCTAAAGGAATTGTAACTATGAACTTTGTACAGCTATTACATTGTGTAATGTACCGGCTATCTACAGAAGCCTGTTAACATATCACAATGAAAAACTGTATGGAATGGATATATTTCTGTCCACTGCTAAATGTTTATGGTGAAATTGTGTGCGAGACAATAGACTACAAAAAGAACATTATCAATAAGCTAGTCTGCTTTGTACAGCATATATTTTATGATCAAATGTCCATGGAAGGAACGAGAGAGCAATACTCTTTAATTTCATCTGCTTATTTAGAAAGGTTTTACTACAGTGAATATATACACATTCTGTCATTAAGATTAATTTTTTGTTTACTGTGGCTCATGGGCCAACTGGGATAGCAGAAATTCCAACAGCCGGAAAATGTTATAAATCAAAAGCACCAGAGTTTATGTAGTGTACATCACTCCAAAAATCTTTTTTCAATCTGGGCAACCAACCTATCACATAGGAAACCGATAAACAATGTAATAACACAGATAACAGATCTTTTCATTGTTTTCTTAACTCAGATGTTTAATTTGCCACCAGCACAATAAAATATTAACTTTAGTCCCATGAGAAAAGAAAGCAACAAGCTGTTTGAAGATGTGTGATACTAATCTGTGATGTGCTGCCAATGTTTTAACAAGGGGCTCCCACAAAAAAATGTTTTCCTGAGGCTTGTGATAAACCATGAGTCTCAGGGATGCACAACAGCAAATTGCATGAGGAGAAATCTATTCATTTTTCTTCCTATTCAACTAACCACAACTAAAGATGGAGGCAGCAAACAAATTATGCTGCACTTTGTTGTAAGTGTTAATGTTTATTTTTGGGAAAAAGTTGAGATTGGCAGCATTATAACACAGTGCTCAACTTGTGCTCCTGGAAATTTGAGCTCAAGATTTTGTAATGTGGTTTGGGCATTTTTCTCCCTTGGGAACTCTCTTTCAAATGCTTGATATTTGTTATAACTAGTCAATTGCAAATTAAAACATATGTTCTTCAAAGTCATTTCTATCAGCAATGGTGAGCAGCATCTGCAGAGGGGATAGGCTCAATCAGAAGCAGACAATTCATCCTAAACGACCTTTCGTTTTGGTGATGGAGATTTAACTAGTAGGCTTTTTCTAAACATCACTGACATTTTACATAAAAGATCTGTCTGGGGAAGATCTCCCTCTTTATTTGTACTGCTAAACTTACATGTTTGCTGTGTCAGTAAAATTGGGACTTAATTTTTATTTCTGCTTGACAACCACCCTTTTGTAATTCTGAGTACGGTTTGATGGAGAAACGGGAGAGACAAATAGCTCCAGAAGCAGTGCATTCCTTGTACGGGCATAGCACATTTAAATATGTAAATACATTCTGTATGCTTTGGCAAAACTTAAAGCACTTTAGTAAAGATTTCCACTTGCATCAAGTTCTGTTTTCATGTTCCTTGCATACTATGAACAACTGCTCCTTCCTGAATCTTTCTCATTCACTCACTCACACAAATAGTTGTTAAAGGGAGATAATAAAAATACTTTGGAAGAAATGAATTATACTTGAGATAAATACCAAAAAAAAGTTAGCCTTTACAAAGTCAGGAAGTAACTCATGGAACAAGACAATATTTAAAAGTAGCTGACATCTTTTAATTGTTCCTTATGTGTGACTCAAGGAATCAAACAAAAATGTACTGGTACTTTTAGATTGGTGAAGTGCTTACCTCTTCTTCTTTGTGATGATGAGGACATCATTAAAGAGGAAGAAGTACACCTGCTGCTTGGAGGTTCTTTTAGAAAAAAGTCCAGTATCTTCTACATATGCTGTTAGCTCACCCCTTTTCACTAACCATCGGGAAGAGGAGACCAATGGAAATGGCTACAAAATAAGAGAACAACATTTTAAGCTCTTCAAAGCTTATACAAATCTTGTGAGACAGAGAATAAAAATCACCTGGAAAGATAAAAAAAATCCCTCTGAAATACACAGATAATACCTGATAATAAGGGTACAACAGGGACTTCAAGCTTCAAAATCACAAGTCATACAGGTAAGGTACATTTCACAGTTTCATAGATTTTATGGTCGGAAGGGACCTATTAGATCATTGAGTCCGACCCCCTGCCCTGAGCAGGAGATCATCAAGTCCAGCCCCCTGCCCTGGGCAGGAATGAGTTCTGGGGTCGTATGAACCCAGCCAGGTGTCTGTCCAATCTCCTTTTAAACACCTCCAAGGAAGGGGACAGCACCACCTCCCTTGGAAGCATATTCCATATTTTGGCAACCCTCACTGTAAAGAATTCCTGATATTTAATCTGAATTTGCTCTCTTCCAGTTTGTGGCCATTATTTCTAGTTACTCCGACAGGCACCCTGGTAAACATTGTATCCCCTATTTCTTGCTGGCTCCCCCGATAAGTTTGTAGGCAGCCACGAGATCACCTCTCGGTCTCCTCTTGTGGAGGCTGAAGAGGTTCAGGTCTCCCAATTAGTCCACATAGGGTTTTTTCTGTAGTCCACATAGGGTTTTTTCTGTAGGCCTTTAACCGGACAAATGGCCCTCCTCTGACCCCTCTCCAGGCCATCCACATCCCTCCTGAAGTGCGGTGCCCAAAACTGGACGCAGTATTCCAGTAGCAGCCTGACCAATGTCATGTAGAGGGGAAGTATCACCTCCCTGGACCTCTCTGTGATGCACCTACTCATGCAAGAAAGGGTGCAGTTAGCTTTACTTATTACCTCATCACACTGGTGACTCATGTTCATTTTGGAGTCGACTATGACTCCGAGATCCCTTTCCGCAGTTGTGCTACCTAGAGTGGTACCTCCCAGGCTGTAGGAGTGTTGATGAGTCTTCCTCCCCAGATGCAACACATGGCGCTTATCTTTGTTAAACTGCATCCTATTCTATTCAGCCCATTTCCCCAGCCTGTCCAAATCAGCCTGGATTTGCTCCCTGCCATCTAGTTTGTCTTCCTCCCCCCCCCGTAGTTTGTGTCGTCTGCAAACTTGGACAGGCTGCTTTCTACTCCCTCATCCAAGTCACTAATGAAGATATTGAACAGTACTGGTCCCAGGACAGAGCCTTGGGGGACTCCGCTGCCCACATTTCTCCAGGTAGAAACTGACCCATCCACCACCACTCTCTGGGTGCATCCCATAAGCCAATTTTCTACCCACCGGCTGTGTAATAATCTACCTTGCAACTATTTAGTTTATTTATAAGAACTGGGTGCGACACTGTGTCAAAGACCTTTTTAAAATCTAAGTAAATAACATCTACCTCCATTCCTTCATCCAAGCATTTTGTGACCCAGTCATAAAATGAAACCAGGGTAGTCAGGCAGGATCTGTCTGCTGTGAACCCAGGCTGATTACCTTTTAGCATTATTTTACCTGCTGTTCCCCCACAAATGTGATCCTTAACAATTTTCTCAAAGGTCTTGCCAAGGATAGAGGTGAGACTAAACAGTCTATAGTTACCCAGTTCCTCCTTCCTCCCCTTCTTGAAAATAGGGACCACACTGGCCTTTTTCCAATCCTCTGGGACCTGTCCTGAGTGCCATGAGTACTCAAACAGTTGTGCCAGGGAATCCGCTACGACTCCGGCTAATTCCCTAAGTGTTCATCATTTGCGGACATGTTTTAAGCAATATTCACACTGTCTCTGCTATTTCAACTGAATATTAAACAGACTATATAATGAAATACTATAGGACAGAGCTAATGACATACATCCACCTAATGCAGAACTGAGTGAATTTCTTAAGGAGGGGACAGATAAAATGGCCATAAATATTTCCAGACCCCAATCTCTTGTAAGTCACAGTAGCATAAATAATTGTTCTTTCAGCTTGGAGTATGTGTCAGTATGGGTCCCACTGTATGTGACAGTCAAGTAGTATCCTCTCTGAAGAGAAGTAATCAGGAGTTTCAGCTTAATTTGTCAAATAATGATTGAGGAACTGTTTTCATAAGTTTGATATTTGACCTGGATACTACATCCAGGGCATAACAAAAATAAGAAGGCTGGTCCATAAACCTGAGACTGACAGAGCAGCCTTCTGAAGCAGTTTGAAGGTGTTGTCTATGCTACTGTAGTATGTCCTGACATTTAATGGCAGGTGTATGATCCACTTAGAGATTTTCTGCAGCAGTGTGGTTTGGCATTTTATGAGCCAGAAATGGCCACTAAATGGGACACCCTAAGAGGCTTAGTCCTTATTAAGAGCAAGCCTCTGAGATTTCTTACATCTTTTCTCTTAGCATCATGCATAGTCCTGGGAAGACTACTCAGTTTTATTGATCAATTCTGATGAAACTTAGGAACCTTAAGGAAGAGCTTATGAAAATGGTCACAACACAACTCAGTGCCTGTAAAAGGATATGTAAGAGGTCTAGGCTATTGGATTGAAAATTGTTAATGCTGGTTTATAACAATGAAAAATCTGCCTTGTTGGTAGGGTGGTTGCCTGAGAAATCCAATGGTAGCTCAAAAGGAGGCTTATTGAACTTTAGGATGACAATGTTGAAGCCCTAGGGAGAGATGGGTATCTAATAGATGGAAGGTATGCAGAAGATCTTTGAGTAATCTGGGGAGCATCAAACATGTCTGTACTATAGTATATACAAGGATGACCTCAAGATAGACTGGCCTAGTATGCAGCATGTTAATCAAGGATCCTCAATACTGTGACCTCTACTAGGACTAGATCACACCAGAATGACATTCCAGAGAATACCCTTGTCATTTCCAGTTGTCAACCATACTAATGGATTGGTTTTTATTTGGCATGAGGCTTTCCTGACTCAGGGAGTATGAAAATAGGCAAGGTCCCAAAATCTGATTTTAAAGGGTTTTTGGCTTCAAAAGTATAACACTTCTTATGTTCTTTTGCTCTTCTTTAAATTATTTCATTTTCTTGATGTTTTCCCCCAAGGTATAGAAGTTCTTATAACTCTAATTTCACATTTATGTGCCAACTATCTGCTCCTAAACTGGACATAAAATAATTCTCAAAAGGCTGAAAGACCCTTGTATAAACTAAGAGGGCTATGTTAATACTGTTCACAGAAATATCAAAATGATCCACATGGTTGTTTCAGGACATCAAAACTCAAGTGGCTGAAACTGAGAAACTTCTTAAGGAACAAGAGATATATGGAAAGCTTTATTAGAAGTTTCAGTACTCTAAGTTTATAAACTCTACAAGGCAAAAGTTCTGAAATTCTGCTCCCATTACATTCAATAGCAACATACTCACTGATTTCATTAGTCCAAGAGTTTACTAGGGCTGTGCAAAGCTCTGGTTGCGGCTTCGATTCAGCGGAGATTTTCGTGGTCTAATCTCTGAATCTGAATCGAATTAGGACAGGAAACCCTTTAATCTCTCTGACTTGAACCCGCAGCATGCTTATAGGCTTGGCAGTGCTACGCTGGCTAGCACTATGGATGAATGGGACTTGGGGGTCATGATTGACCACAAGATGACCATGAGCCTTCAATGTGATGCTGCAGCTAGTAAAGTGAGCAAAATGCTGGCTTGCATCCATAGATGTTTCTCAAGCAAATCCCAGGATGTCATTCTCCCGTTGTACTCAGCCTTAGTGAGGCTGCAGCTGGAGTACTGCGTCCAGTTTTGGGCTCCACAATTCAAAAAGGATGTGGAGAAGTTTGAAAGAGTTCAGAGAAGAGCCACACACATGATCACAGTTCAGGAAAGCAGACCTTATGACGAGAGGCTGAGAGCTATGGGACTCCTTAGCCTGGAAAAGTGCAGGCTCAGGGGTGATCTGGTGGCTGCCTATAAGTTTATAAGGGGTGCTCACCAGGATCTGGGGGAACGTTTGTTCACCAGACCACCCCAAGGGATGACAAGGTTGAATGGTCATAAACTCCTCTAAGACCATTTCAGGCTGGACATAAGGAAGAACTTCTTTACAGTCTGAGCCCCCAAGGTTTGGAATAGACTGCCACCAGAGGTGGTTCAAGCGCCTACTCTGAATGCCTTCAAGAGAAATTTGGACGTTTATCTTGCTGGGATCCTATGATCCCTGCTGACTTCCTGCCTCTGGGGCAGGGGGCTGGACTCAATGATCCTCTGGGGTCCCTTCCAGCCCTAATGTCTGTGAAATCTATGAAATGTATGATTAATTGGAGCAGACTTGATAAATACCAATATAAAATAAAGCAGACATTGGGATAGATTTTTAGTTCTTTTTCACAGTTGCTGCTTTTAATTATTGTAAAATTGTAAAAATTAATTATTGTAAAATTATTGCCTAAAAAGGCAGCTGGAAAGAGCAGTCAATACTCTCGCCCAATATGTATTGCTATTTTATACTGGATTTTTTAATATTATATCCCAGGATGACAAGAAGGGCATTCCATAAATAATTTTATTACTACACTGCCAGTGAAAAGGCAAACATAATGAGAAGTTTCAGGGTGTATGAAGAAGAAAGATACTGCTTGTAAACCTAGGGAGGGATTAATATTCTGTGTAAAAATGAAGCAGGCCTAAAAGGCCAACTAATTAATCGAGGTTAACTTGATTAATCAGTCTGCTCTGCATTCTAAATGGAATGCCCTAGCATTGCCACAGTGTCACATGTATAAGCCCCTCCAGGTTTAAAAATAGCTGCTGGGGCACTTTAACTAAAGCTCCTTGAATGAGCTTTAGTTAAAGTGTCCTGCAGCCATTTTTAAATGTGCGGGGGCTTAATATAGGTTACACTGCAGCATTTTAATTAGAGCAGCTCTCCAGGAACCACTTTAATTATCTCTCCCCCCTCACACACACACACACCTCTGAGCACATGTATAGGCACTCATAAATTCTAAAGTTTTAAAAAGAGATGCTTGGAAAAGAGGGAAAC